ACTAGGTTAGGTTTAATTAAAGGCTTTAATATGTAATTTCGTCCAAATTTGAACATAAAATGACTATAAAAATAAACTGTGATTGTATATTTTTTAGATTTTTCGGTAAGAGAATTAATTACTTACGTGGAATCTTGTTTTAAATTTTCAATTAGCTATAAAAACTGAACATTTTATAATTTATTAATTACGATGATAATTAAATAATTTAATATTTTAATATTTTAATATTTTTATTTAATTAAATAATTTTCCAGATTTTGAAAAATTCTGTCAAAATTCGATGTTTAAATGCTTATAAAAAAAAATTGTGACTATGTATTTTTAATATTTTTCAACTGATATTGTAACAATATATCAGGAGCCTTGTATTAAATGTTTACCCTTTTTGGCCCAACAGATAAAACTTTATTGATATTCATAGAAAAAAAAACTAAAAAAATTGAAAAATGAAAATATCCGTAAACAGCTCAAAAAGAGTCAAAATATTTTCAAAATTGTATGGTGTATAGGAAATGCTAATATAAACATTCAGTGAAATTTTCATGTATCTATAGTTATTCGTTTATGAATAACAACAAAATAAGGAAATCGCTACATGAGAAATCGAGTGAACATCCAATGTTGTAAAAATTTGAATTTCAAACGCTCATAAAAATTTAATTTGACTGTCCGGTAGAGATTTTTTTATTGATAAAGGTAGACAAACTTATGAGTAATCTTGTATTACATTTTCAAATCTTAGATTGAAAAAGAAAAATTTTTACGAATTCTTAACTCAAAATAATTTGCTATTTTTTGTGATTTTTCCATATTTTGTCAATTTTTGAACTTTAAATGCTTATAAAAAAGAACTGTGACTAACGATTTTTAATATTTTTCATCTGCCTTTGTAACAATTTAGTAGGAACCTTGCATTAAGTTTTCAAGTATTTCTACTCAACAAACAAAGTTTTATTGATATTTTTAGAAAAAAAAATGGAAAATGAAAATGTCCCTAAACAGTTCAAAATAAATCAAAATATTTTGAAAATGTTATCGTATATAGAAAAGGCAAATATAAACAACCAGTCAAAATTTCATGTTCCTACAGTCATTTGTTTTAAAGTTACACCAAAAACCAAATTCGATTTTGTCAAAAACCGATTTTGCGTAAAAATTCCCGTTTTTCCTAAATTTTTATGTTGTTTTTCCCGGCGCTTGTGAAAACTATTGGGAATTTTAAATTTTGACCTCCCCAATGCACCAACGATATTCACTTTCCAATCGAACAAGATACTGAAGTCGAAAATCGAAGCATTATTTCGACTACTTATCGTGTACACAGACACAAAAAAAACACACATCATTGTAAAATCAATACATTCATCGTTTCACTCAGAATCTAAAATATAAAATATTCAGACTGACAAACCGTCTCCGCTCAGAATCGTTTTTCATATACAATGATATTATATTATTGAATTCAAGTTTAATACAATCCATTATACAATGACCCACTTGTAACCTACTCTACAGCAGAGCGACATCCACTTGCAAACTTTTATAATCTTGAACTTCAAACATTGAATGAAAAATTTTGATAATAAGATTATGTAATATTGTATTTGAAATATTGAAATGTTAATGAAATATAAATCTTATTCTAACATTTAACATTACAAAATGGTATGTTGGAAACTTGGAAGGGACCTAGAATCCGAACACACAGCAATTTATTATACTATAATAATGTATTATTAATATTTAATTTAAAAACTAATTATTTCGTTTCAAACCAAATTTTTTTTTTAAATATTCATTTTAGTGTTAAACCTATACTTTATTCAAGAAACGTAGTCGGTGGGGACCAGTTTTCGTCAGGAAACACCCGTTTATCACCACCATCCAGTCAATTATTTGAACACCTACCGTGAAGTATTGCCAATGTTGAGCCGAGATAAATGTAATTTTATCTAGATAAAGATAAATTATAATAATGTTATCTAGATAAAGATAAAAAAAAAAATATTTTATCTAGATAAATTATGGGATAAATTTTTTTTATATGTTTTTGTGGCACTCTCCGTAAGCTAATAGCATAATAGAATAACTTAATACTATGTTATCGAAAATGTCGATAGTTATTAGTAAATACTACCTACTTAATAAATTACTTTATTGTCTACCTATATTCTATAATAAATAAAAGCCGTTTAGTAAATTAAATGATCTAGATAAGCTCAACACTGAGTATTGCACACAAGTCGGCCGTCGACTACGTTTCTTAACTTGAACTGAGTATAGGTCAGTTACCAATTAAAATAACTGGCAATTTCATATTTTAAATTTGTATCCATATATATTATTTTAGTGAAACATACCATTCTGTAAATATTTTGTTACAAAACCACACAGAGTCACAGAGAGAATCTATACATACTATAATAAAATGGAAAAATAGGAATATTTAGGGAAGTTTTAGAATAAATCGATTTTTTTTTTTGTTTTTTTTAAGTTATTAAAAATGTGAAACCTTAGATTTTTTTTAATTGTCCTCAGTAATTGTATATCTATTAGTATTTTCTAAACATGATATAATTTTAAAAATATTTTCGCTCTTTTTGAGCTATTTATATTATGAATAGCTCATTATATATTCCGATCACATTTAAAAGCTATAATAAGTAAACTAAAAATTGTATTTATAATATGTATATTTCATATTTCGTTAAATAAAATTTGACTTTTAATCCATAAATTTCAGAATCGTAATATTGAGGTAAGTACTATAATATTTAATTTCAAACAGTCGTGAAAATTAAATAATAATATATAAAAACTAAATTAAACATAATACAATAAAAACTATAATAGCTAATAAAATAAAGATACAAATTAAAAAAAAAAAAAAAAACAATTCCAAACAATGCACCTATAGGTAATAACCAATAGGTATAGGTACCTAAATATAATATCTATTTTGTCTAAACGGTATTAAACAACAATAACAATAATAGTCAATGGCAAAAGAAAAAACAAGTAAAATAATTTTCGTGTTGGGTGAACCTCACAACCACCAACAATGGCAAACAAATTGAACCAATATAACCTTTCTAAATCTAAAACATAATGTTTCGAATAATGTGTAATAAAGTAATGTCGATATAGGAATGTTTTCTTTCACATAGTTTATCTTACCCACCCAGTGGCATAAATTACATTTTTAATGTTGCGAACTTTTTTTATGTTTTAATAATGGATACTCAATCTCCATCTTTTATCCCTCAATCCTTTGTTACAAAGTACGTTTGGGAGTTGGGTCTTGGATGTTAAGAGAGTTAGGCAATAGAGCGCTTAAAATAGAGATTTTTTGATATAGTGGATATTTTTAAATCTGAGTGAAAAAAGGCATAGAATTGTGTTTTTGATATAATTTGAAGGACTTTGGATTGGAATGTCTGGATACATTTGGTATTGGAAACATAGGCTTCGTCCCATATATTTAGATGCTGTGTAAGACCAAGTGGGTGTCAGCTGGAGTAATTTTTACAGCAATAGCTTGCTAAAGGTAAGTTTTAAGATTGTTTTTTAGAAGATAAGTTTTGATAGGTACCTACTTAATAATTTATTTAATTATTATAATATATTCCTAGCTAAAAAATATTAATATCCAAAAGGAACGATCACTTTCTATCATTAAAAATTTCTAAAACCGCTAAATGATGGTATTTTTGTTACCAATGCGTCTATAACAAATCTGTAAAATATAAAGACTGTATCTATAATAAACACTAATCTAGTAATCTGACCTTCATTTATGGCCTATGTGATGAAAATTACGGCAACGAGTAGCGACCACAGTTAATTGAACAAAATTGAACAGTATTACTAATAAATATAGGGTTTGAATTTTGTAGTAAAATAAATAGTTAAAAAAAACATTTATTTAATTTAAGTTTGAAAAATACCAAAATCACAATTATTTTTTTTTCCAAAACTTAAAACTGTCACTTTGATATAACTACAATAACCTGTATTCCGACAGTTGTTGTACTAGCCATACACATTATCTCGATGTCAAACAAAATAATTTCAACAACGAAAGGGGGAAATTTTAACAATTTCTGGCTTTAATTCAGTAGATATATTAACTTGCCTAATGTATATTGTTTGTATTAAACATAGAAATATGTGTAATTTTATTAAAATTATTCAAATACGAGCAAAAAAGTATATTTAGGGTGAAAAATCAACACAAATTACAATCAGAATGATCCGAAACGGTTTCATAGTATATTATAATGACCTTTTTAGCCCACTCCCCTTTATAAAAAAAAGTAATTACTACAAAATCTTAGCCTCACAGTAATAAATAATAAAATGTCTTTGTATCGATTTTATCAAAATATTATTTACACTTTGACCCGTGGCGTTTTTGAAATCAAAGTTATAATATTATTAGCTGTCGATAAGTGGCATTTTATATAGACTGTAATATATAGATAGGTACCTTTTTAACAAAATACCAATAGGTACGTCATTACATTATGCAAATGTAGTTCCGTCGTTTAGTGGAAATTGGATTCAAGAAAAATAAGAGAACCTACATCTTCCTGTCATACGAGTAACGGAGCTAATGTGCCGAAACCACAAAAAAATGTAAATAACTAATATTTGATGTCACCGCGAGTGTCACCGATGACGGGAGTTGTTGGTGTTGGCAGGGGGGGGTGGGGTAGTTTGGGGGTTTCGTACGGGAATGTGTTGATTAAAGTCTTTTCTTTTTCATTTGTGGAAATAATCAATTTATCAGAAATATAGTAATATAAAATTAACAACTAACCTAACCTAACCGGCGTGTAGGGACTATATATTATTACCTATTTTGTCTATCAGTAATATTATAATATTATATCGCACAACGCAACACAACTAAAATATGAACGTTCAGCCGAGAATGACGATGTTCAACAATAACGATAATAATAATATAGGGTAGATGTAATATTATGGTTTCCTCATTGGTTGTCGTCGAATTGACTGTCGGGCGCGAGATCGTTGTGGTCCGTTGTGGTTTTGGCTTTTCGCTCGTTCAAGGAGGCCCAAGCACAATGGATTTGGAAATGCAGTCTTGTCTCCAGCGAATAACCAGAGTAATTTTTTCTGTAAAAAAAAAAACGTTGAATAAGGCAGGAAAAACGAATAAGTCGGTTAAGTCAACGTTAACGTTCAGTTGCGGGGTCCAAAAACTTTTTTTTTAAAAATGAAAAAAATTAACTTTTCAACAATATAATATAGTCAATAATGCCCCACAATTTTGGTTGGTGGAAATCGGTTTCAAATTTTTAATGGATATCAATATAAGAATATAATATAGACATTTTCAAAATAATATCATGATTTGTTTTGAACTGTTGAGGAATATTTTCATTTTCCATTTTTTTTAAATTTTTTTTTCTAAAAATATCAATAAAATTTTATTTGTTGGTTAAAAATCCTTGAAAATTTAATAGAAGACTCCTAGTATATTTTTTCAAAGGCAGATGAAACATTTTAAAAACCCTTAGTCACTACTTCAATTTATCAAATTTAAAATTTAATAATTATTTTGTAGTTAATAATTTATAAAATGTTCAACTTTTATATCTAAGGATTGAAAATTTAAAACAAGATTCCACGTAAGTAGTTAATTCTGTTACCAAAAAATCTAAAAAATACATAAACACAGTTTATTTTTATAGTCATTTTAAGTTCAAATTTGGACGAAATTACTTAATAAAAAACCTAGATCAACTATTTTAGTTATTTTGTTGTAATTGTATAATATTATTCGTGGGTACTTGAAACTTCTAAAGTACACTTTTATATATCTATGATAGTATCAGCTAGGATTTGTTGTTGATGTATAACGCGTTATAAGTACCTAATATGGATATTGTGATATGATTAATTTGGAATTTACTATAGGTCAATTTTTTTAATACTATAGATAAGTATATAATATGTCTTATACCTAGACTGACATACCGTCTCCGCTCAGAATCGTTTTTCTTATAAAATGATATTATATCATTGAATTCAAATTTAATACCATCTTTTATACAGTGACCCATTTGTAACCTACTGTACAGCAGAGCACCTTTTTTATATTGCTATTAAAATTATTTATTATAGTATTAGGTAGTATTACAGTAGGTTGATTAATTTTTTTAATTTTTTATTTAAAATATTTGTGTAGTTACATAAGCCTTTGTTTTTAATTCCAACAACTTATAAAAACCTTGTATTATACTGTTAAGCTATTAAACCGAGCAAATTTTTTTTAGCGACATTTATACAAAAAAAATATCGAAGACTATCTAACTATTTTGACCAATAATATAATATAATAGGTATACCAATTATATTTTAATAATCATATTAAAATTTTAGCAAATTTTCATATATTTTTCTCCCTATTATTTTAAAATACTGAGAATTTTCAATTTTCTAAATGTATTTACTAGATCTAATTTGCGCTACCAGAAACCTACATCGAAGTTAATCATTAATCACAAGAAAAAGTGTCTTCAAATACAAAAAAAAAATAATAAAATAACACACATCATCATCGTAAAATCAATACATTCCGTTAAGAATCTAAAATATGAAATTGACACTAAAATTAAATTTACCCAATCAATAAAATGCAATTCTAAAGGGGTAGTGAAATAATACCTACATTTTTAGTTTATATTAGCAGTTTGCCTACTATATAGGCTCGATCTACTGTATAGTCACTATACATACAGATCTGCACTATGAACGTAGAAATGTACAATATTATTCATATATATATATGATATGATATATACTATACAGATATTATACTTTATATTTAACTGTACCCTTTATATTTTACCGTTGTAAAGATGATGTCAGCACACTATTTGTTTTCTCTTTCTGACCAACGCGCATAGTTCTATGCATAGAACCAATATATTGTGTTGTTATTTTTATAATAATATTACTATATTAGAGTGAATTAACTTATAATATCAAACTTAAACGTAAGAACACTAATCTAGGACATCTCTAAGACTTTTATTAATATATTAATTTTAAACTGAATTATAACCATGTGATTTATTACAACTTTGAGTCTTTGAAATGATTATAAGTGGCTGTAGCTTTTGCTTATAATATTAGCTAAGCTAATAACACAAAATTGGTTCTGATGAACATAAATTTACTCTGTTGAGTCGGAGAGAGAAAACAAATAGCACGCTGATATTTACTCAATGAAATTTTTTTCGACACTAGATCCTTAAATTATAATAAAATAAAATATTTAGTTGGTCTTCCGTTATATTATATATACTGTATACAACTGTACGTTTTCTCAAAACCAAAATCCCAAATTAATTTTCTGTATTTAACAATTTTATTATTGGATTATAGGTATATATTTGGCATGTAATAAATATATTATCTACTTAAGTTATTTTTTATATTCATCGACAATTTTTTGTCGTTTTTGTTAAATGTTTAAAAAAATTACATTTAATAAAATTATAGTGTACCTAATCCTAATGTGTTGTATGCTATTATTCGCGAAAATTTAGACCATTGCCTATCAACGAGTTATAGTTATATTACTCTACTCAATACCTTATAATACCTTTGACCTAGGTACTTAAAAATGTATGGCTATGATTTAAAATTAACATTATCATCGATCGTCAGTCGAACCGTCAACGCAGTCGAGTATCCACGTAAGTACAGAATAAAACATAACTAATAAGAAATATTATATTATACAACTATAACAGTCTATGAGTAGGTAAGTACCTATAATCTGATAATAACATTTTCAAATAAAAACGAATAATTTGGGGTTTTTATTTCGGTGAAATAGTTTTTCCGAAATAAGGAATAGGGATTTTGATTTTCATGAAATAATCGGTCGGTAATATGGAGTCGGGATGACGGCGAGGTTGTAAATTTTTTCACCGAATTTCGGTTACAGACGATTTCTACTGTGATAAATAGTAACATTAACGTTTTCGAATCGTGACAAATAGTAAATGTGATCATGCAGCGACAAGATTCACGACCATACTTTGCCGTTTCGAGGAAATAAGCGACCTTTTCTAGGTTGCCTTTGGATTTGTACAAAAATGCCAGTTCCACGTGCGCGTATGGCACCAGGAAACGGTCCTCTTTGATTTTTTTCTCCATCGACAGGACGGACTTGAAACACTCTTCTGCGTGCAGCGGGCTGTTCATAATACGCAGGCACACTCCTTTCAGCAGACACCCGAGTGCCTTGTTGTCATACTCGTATTCGCTGCCATATTGCCCTGTGAGGGATAAAAAACAAATATCAGTACTTATATGTATAGGTATATAGGATATTAAAGGTATTACAGTGGCATGGCACCAGACATTTTTTTTCTACAGGGGGGAAATATTTTTTTTTAATGCTTGTTAAAGGATGGTAGTATACGATGTTTTAATATTATCCGAACTGTTCCCCTTAATTATGATAAACATATTTTCTCATACAACAAGACATAAATAAACCAGGGAAGTCGCTTGTACGTGCCGAGTACTTGAGTGTTTGAGCAGGTAATTCATTGTATTATAAGTTATTACTGCATTGTTATAATATGAATGTGTAAAATGTGAATTTAATGATAAATCGTTGTACCTATATGAAAAACTGTTCTGAGTGTAGACTGACCGTCTATACTTCTAAGTGTAAAGGGTATAAAGATTAAAGGGTATTTTGTTATACATTTATATTGTTCTAAGTTATTTGTTTTTCTATTAGTAATACAGTACTTATGTTAAACTAATTTTGGCCAAAAACAAATCGCACATATCATATGGTAGGTAATTACTAATTATATATATATATACTTTACTATTGCAAATTTTAGTGATACAGACATGATATTTAAACGCGTAATATAAAATAAATTGAACCTAATAACCTATGTACTTTTAATATTTTTAAATGTCTGTAAAATGTAAATACCTAATAGAAAATGTCAAGTTTTTAATATTAATATTTTTTTAATTACAAGTTACAACAAATTAACATAATCGTTTGAGGAAGAATTGTGTTTTAAGTGTGAATATGTCTTCAAACTTCAATTATCTACTCATATAAAATGGATACCTATAGGCATATAATAATACTCAACTTTTATTTAATTTCCAATAGGTAACGAAAATTGATGAGGAATTTTGTATTAAATTGTCGAACTTTTTTACCCACAAATGTTATGTAAATCGAAAAAAAACTAAGATAAAACTAGAAAATTAAAAATGTCTACAAATAGTACAGAAGAACAAAATATTGTTATCATGGCAAGGAAAAGCTAATTTAATATTTGAAAAAAAAATTCGAATATCCACAGTTAGTTTTAACTACAACAAGGAAACAAAACCTTTTGTTGAAAACTGAGTTGGATTAAAATTTCCCGTTTTCCGAAAAATATCTATATGGAGTGTTAATACAATAGACAATATAAGTACCTACAAGATAGTATCTATCCAAAATTACCTATTAAGTTTTTTTTTAAATATATAGTAAAATTCAATTATTAAAATTATGTTTTTTCATATAACATTGCAAAATCCCGTTGTTTTGTTACTTTTTTACTCTTACCCTTCAAGTATTAATTAAAACCGATTTACTACCAGTAACCACTCTCAAAGTTAAAGATTAAGCCATTTTTCTATTATAAAGCTTATGCAGTCAAAAAAAAAAAAACACACATCATTATAAACCCAATACATTCATGGCTTTGCTTAGAATCCAGTATATAAGTTATTAAAAATACCTAAGTACCATTATTTTATACCATGATTTAAGGTGCAAAGAAAAAATATATCTTAAATCGTGCCCTATAGTCTATATATACAAATGCATATTATACAACATTATACACAAATGAAAATGTCAAGTACAAGCATTTAATTTTAAATTAAAATTGTAAAATTACAGATGGGTTATAAATCGGGGTAATACAAAATATAGGGAGGCACTTGACCTGTCCACTCCCTTGGCTACAGTGTAGTGTAACCCCTTATAGGTGAAATGTAATATGTCATTAACAATAGGTAGGTTAGGTTGACACCACGTTGGTCATTAACCAAAAAAATAGAGAATTTGCAAGCTAGTTACTACGCGTTCCAGTACCTACGTTGTTATTCCGTCTCAGTCGGGTGGTTGTGATTTTCATCGTAGCAAAATCCCAAAATTGTGTTTTTTTATTCTATAATTTTCAACGTCTTTGTTTGTCTGTAGTTTGTTCAATGTTATTATTATTGTTTCACAATCGGTGACTCAGTAACTTTTGAGTTTTATAGTTTTTTACATACATCGCACAATTTGTGTTTAAAATAAAATTTAGTGTTTACCACAGCAAAAACGTTTAGAAATCATCCACAATATACTATAAATTGATAATAAAAAAATCCTTAGACGAAAAATGTATAAGACTAGTTTTACTACATTTTACCTTTTGTTGTTATTCTACATTCCTAAGAAAATTGTACGACTTTACGATTTTAAGAATATATTGTCAAGATACCTATCGTCAACGGGTCTTTACTGCGAGATTCAGCGGAACACTCTGTATGATTACAAAGTGAAATATTTGCAATTAAAAATTAAGTGTGAGCCGTAAGGGCATACTTTTACCTAAGACCTAAGTACTTAATATAATAATATATATACTACCATCATAATATTTGACGTGAATACCTACGTCTTAATAGAATATGAAAATAAGAGAAACTTCGACGAACTCGTTAACGAAGTTTAGACGGTAAGTTCGGAGAAGAACTTTGTAGCTTTTAACTTTTAAGTGACAAATTACATTTCATAAAATAAATATTAAATTTATTACGATGGAAATGTTTTTAAACACGACATTAAAAATAGCTTTTCAAACTGTTCATTTTGCACTTTTATAGCAGTAAAAATACACTAAGTATAGTGTAACTGCATAAAGTTTGAGTTATTCCTTTTATCGATTAAACGTTCATCACAGATGGTACTTTAGATGAGTGATTTTTGTGGAACTACCCGTAGCTCCAGGCGCCCAAGATAATTAATAAATTAATAAACAACAACACAAGACGGAAAATTGTATTTTGGAACTATAATAATGTTGTACCTACATAAGATGAAATTTGTTAATTAATTTTAATTAGTACTGACATCCAAGTGATTTTAAAGAGAAACGTGAGAGGTTGACACTCCGCTTGCACTTCTACATTTTTCTGAAATAAATAGATACGGTCTCAGGCCTCAGCTGCTTACTATAGCTATTGATTTCCCAGCAACCTATTTTACATATTTTTAATTATAGTATTTATTATTTACATATCTATCTGTATATCCTCCGAATCCCTGTTGCGCATATTTTATCAATCTATAATAGAATAATGATTGATTTTATCACGAATATCATTTTATATGTCATCTTGAGTGATATAAATAATAAACTATTACACTATGCATATATTAATAATTGTATAGTTTATTAAAATATATGAAAAAACAACACCAGTCTACTAACGAAGGACAATGAGATAATAATATATTTTGTTATACGAATATAATTTTAAATAAGTACCGAATTTTGATTTATTTTTTAGTCATCTTTTCTCTTTACTTCTAAAACAAAGTTACGTGGCAGTATACGCAGGACAGCCAAATCTGGTATAAAAGTTTTATAGTATGATGTACACAAACTTTGTGTATGATTAATTTGAAATTTATTATAGTTACCTATTATAGGTCAATTTTTTTTAATACCATTGATACCTATGTATAAAATATGTCTTAAACCTAGACTGACATACCGTCTCCGCTCAGAATCGTTTTTCTCATACAATGATATTATATCATTGAATTCAAATTTAATATCATTCATTATACAGTGACAAACTTGTAACCTACTGTACAACAGAGAACCTTTTTAGAGTCGATTAGAGTTACCCAAGAGACACCATGGGGAGGTTGGCTCATAATTGTTTGCCAATTTTTATTTTTTGTAACTAATTTAAAAATATTTTTTGTATTACATAGTATTATATTAAATCATTGGGTCATTACACAACGTGGACCGCGATGTCATAAATATTTCCTAATATTATTGTCAAGTTTAAATGTATTAATTTTTTTTATTTAAATGTGTTCATGTTGTGTTACAGTTACGTTTAGTTGGTACAACAACAAATGTTGTGCTTATATCTTTGTTTCTTCTAAATTCTACATTTAAAATTACCAATTATAATGCACTTTTTACCATGACGGGTTTCAAAAACTTCAGTAATATTCACATTCATGATTCTTATTGTTCACTTAGGAAAACCGAGAAATGAATCAAACTGAGATACTGAGTCTGAGTGATTGAATGAATAAAGAAATCTGTTGTAGACATAAAGACTGACGACCGTCTCCGCTAAAAACCGTTTTTTTTTATCGTACCTATATACATTGATTTATCTTTATGTTCGAATTTAATACATCTATGTTGCAGTGGTTTAATTACTCTACAGTTACAAGGTACGAGTATTGCCTTTGCCATGGCAAATTTGTACAAAAAAAAGAATTAATTTATATTGGGTATAGTCCAAATTAAAAAAATATATTTTTATCGACAGTTTTTTTATTACGCCAAAACATGTCATGGCTATAAAAACTATAAGTATTACTTGCTAGAGAGCGGACTTTTATGCAATTGTAATTTGTTTTTATTTTTATTTTTTTGAATTTTAATCATATAATCCGTACTAGTTATTAAATACAATTTTTTTTTGCATATTTGATGATTATATATTGCATATTTTGACAAAATTACATATTTATTGAAGTGTAATATTATACACTGTTTTCAAAGCCCAATAAATTTTTAAAATAATATTTCATCATGTAGAACATTTTAATAATATATTTTTACGACTACAAACCTATCTTTTTTTAGTAAACTTGTATACATTTTTTTGTTTTGAATAGGAAGTGAAATGTCTTGTAAAGCAATTTCTCTAAATAAATTATTTGTTTTGAGTAACTGTAAAAAATGTAGGTACTTACATAATTGAGTTGCTCAATTTTTTTTATACCAGTTAAATTAATAATTAGTTGATAAACGATTTAATTGTATACATTTATCTTACTAAACAACCAATTAACAACAATTTTTTTTCCATGTTTGTTTTATACTTTCATGGTTTTTAATGCATATATTATAGGGAAAATTGATATAATTTTTAGTGCATATACAGATCGGTGCTCTAGTCTTTACATTATAATATTATAACTGTATTTAAATGTTCAGGTTTATACCGCGTCATTATCGTAAAAACTAAAATGTATATTGTATATACAGGTACCTACACAAGGGATGTCGATAAAAACGAACCTTTTTTTTATTTTGGTGCAGACCTATTTTGTTTTACCCTATGCGGCTTAATTTTTTTTTTGGCACAATTTGGTAATTCCCTAAAGTACATTCGACTTTTATAATATTTTTAAAAAGAGTGATTTCGGAGATTTCTTATATTTTTTATTAATAATGTTATCGCCACAACCAATTGTCGTGTTAAGAAGTATTATAATATTTACTGAAAAAAATTTATATATTAAATAGTAGACAGTACATATAGTTAAAATATCTTCACGATATATAACAATCATATCAACTAACCATAGTTTATAGTTATAACAACTTTAGTTGTTATTTATTTTAACTGTTGAAATACTTCCGATAATTATCTTAAACTATAGTAAATTCCTCCAAAAACTTTAAAATATATTAATTGAATCCCAAAATAATACATTTTGAAATGACTTACTTCAATGCATTCAAATATTCGAGATACTGTATTAAGATTAACATTCCAGTTTATTGCAGTGAACTATAATTTTGTACTAGAGAACATATTATATGGAGTTAAACTAACTCTTCCATTTGTACGTGTGTTAAAAATAAATAAAATTAAATTCTAAAATTAATTTTAGACACTGAGTGGCTTTAAAAATATTAAGTTATAACTTTGAAGTTGATAATTATAAAAATAACGTATACTAAAAGTTTTGTGTTAATAGAGAAAAAATACTAACTGAACTCAGCTAATAAGTTAAGTTTTTTTTTTTGATTACCACTCGAGTCACTCACTGAATGTGCAATTATTTAAATTGTTTGAAATAATAATTAATCATTTAGTCGTATATATAATTAGTAAAAATATTCATTCTACTATTAATGTACACAGCTGTATAAAGTAGTTAGGTAATTACATGTTTGCGTCTTCTACATTATTAAATAAAAAATATTAATTGGTTTATTTTTATTTAATAAACATTAAAATACACAAGATGATCAATCAAAAATATATTAAATTCATTTTTAATTTTAATCATGGGCATATAGACATGATCTATAAACATGATGTAAATTTAAAGTAGGTAATTTTTTTTTAAACTAGCTGGACAATATATTTATTATATACAGTAGTAATTATCATATTATAGCTTAATACTTAATAGTTATCAAATTTATTAATAACTAACTAATTAGAAGTTAAAATGTTGAAAAAAATGTTACTGTTTGATTAGTTAATATTATCTAGGTGCCCACTTTTAAGTACTCATGTCCTATATTATACTAGTCACAACGCAAACACTCGACCACTCGAGTATGCTGCTGCTGCTGCAGTTCACACAATTAATATTATTTTAAAATTAATATTTATTAATTTATCTAACCTGATAATTAATCGTATATGCAGATTATTATAAAAAGATTCAAGCTCGTAAACACATAAATATTTTATAATTAATGTATTAGTTACTATCACGATCGGTAAAATATTTTAATTATATATTAGTATGTATTTATACTATTTAGTATACTACACAAACCAAGATCACGTGAATTTATTCTTTATTTTTTTGAATTTCGTTTGTGGAAAATTTTGATTTCTACAAGCCTGCGAGAAATGTTGTTATTTGCTAAGTACGGTGTAAAGTTAGGTGTGTATAGGATTTCCACCACGTATAACCAATGGTTTCTATCAGAGCTACAAAAACATTTGAACTGGATGACTACTGAAGCGTTTTGTTTTTGAATAACTTTATAATATGTTATAATAACTATGAGGAATATTTCATACACACGGTCTGATGGTCAAAACCAGTCATACTCAACCTGTGTCCCTACAACCTTTCTTTTCTGTGGCCCGCAAAAATCGAAAATCGAAAATCACACTAATTTGAAAATTATATTTGATGTTATTTGTCATACAATTCTATATAATAAATCATAAAACGGCATATTATCGTAATTGTATTTTTAATCGTTTTATTTTGTATGCTTTGTATTTCATTCCCACCCAAGCAACCCAATTACTCAATGTTGCGATCCAAGTAGTACGTAATAAAAATATATGTAGGCGTCCTAAGCAAAAAAAAAAGTGTGGCTAGTCTAACCGAATCGTCGGCATACCGAATCGCTCAAGACGTCACTCTTTAGTCAGAAGGGGTTGCTCTGTTGCAGGACGCGTATATCATACAACCGGCCGCCTGGTATTGGAATTTAGCTGGTGCGATTAAATCCGCCACTAATTGACTTTAGACTTACACAGTAACCATATATGACTGTATTGATTTAGCGTGGTACGTAAATCGGTTATATTACACACACGCGATGGTCAGAAACTCTAGAAGCTCTTGAAGCTCTAGAAAAAGTAAAAAGCAAAAACCTATAATGACTATAATATTGTTATGCCTGACGAAAATTCTTAAGAAATGTCTACGCTTGTTCGGTTTAACAATAGCTAATACGTCAATATTAGCATTGTAGTAGTTATATATAGTAGGTAGGTTTAAGTTTCGGCAGAATGCAAACATATAATGTTATGTAGCATAGTACGCCCGAAGTCTCATCATCGTCTTAAAATCGCAAACAATATAAAATATATAATGTAGTGAAATTACAAAAATCAATCGATCCGACAGTTTCGAACATCGGTGTAACATCGTGTAACCCACTTACCCACCTTATATAGGGTGATAATATTTAAAGAAAACTCGGTACCTACTTTAATTTTCACATGCCGCTAATACTACTCGCGACTAATTTATCGGGACATCTTAATTGTTTAATACTTGAGAAACTTAATTTGAGATTTGAGATTTTAAGAAGCTAAACATCGCCTTCTTTTACGCGTTTAAAATTGTAATTTGTTATAAATGAAAAATTAAATTAAATTACAGTCTTACACAGAACAAAAAGTAGGTACCTAAACTATATTCGATTTTAAATTTGATTCCTTTTGATCATATTTGCTCACTAACACCAACCGTCAGTTTATAGTAGACCACAAACTTCAATTTTGGATTTTGATGGCATTGTATGGAAAAAAATCTGAAATTACCACTCTTCAGGGGTTGATGATATAATATGATCGCGTTGAAAACCCGATACTACGTAACCTACGTACCTACGTAACTACTACCTACTTCAATAAATAACATTCGGGGGACTTCAATATATTTTACCCTTGGGCCATAATATGAAAAATTAAAACACTGTGGCCAAAACACTTTTAATCACATTTTACAATGTTTAGTTCTATAGAAATGCAACGAACATAATAAACAAATGCACGTTTTTACTGGTTGTTATGACTATGGCAAGCCATTGTTTAGATAAATGTACAAAGAGTAATTTGAATTATAATGGTGTAGTAGTGGTTTACTGTTTTTCCTGAACTTTAAAAATATATACTATAGTTATGTTTAATATTGAATGTAAAACTTTAATATTAATATAGATGCGTTTACACACACATTAGGTTTTTTTGCGCAATCTAGTTTGTACAAATCTGATTTGACCATTAAAATGTACCTATCTATTCAAATAAACGAATATTTAAACAAAACTTTGATTTGTACAAATGGTTTCTACAAATTTGGACGTTGACTGAAAATAAATCTGTGGCTGGCACAAATTAAGTTAGACTTGTAAATGATTTGATTTTCCATATTTTTATCTTAATAACTTAGTAGGTACTGCAGTATCATTTTATAACTTATTATTTATTATTAAATGTCTATCTGTGGACTGTGAAATCATATTTATTTAATAATAATCACTGACTATAGAATAAACAATGTAAATAGTAGGTAAACAATTATAATTATAACAATAATTATAATCAATGATATATTTATGTATTTTGTTATTATACACAGATAAATATAAGTTGTTTTATTTAGTAACCCAGGGGATACTTAACCCAAAAATCTTCAAAATATGCATGCATTTATACCATAATCAATCACCGAAATATGACCAGGACTTAAAAAGTTTTATGCCCTATCAAATGAAGTTGAATGATAGTTTTTTGGGTGTGAGGAAAGCCTACATGACTTTATAATTATTATTATGATATACTATCGGAAGTTTAAGTGCACCCCACTAATAGTTACCATGATCTCCGCCTATATAGCTACTGTATCGAGTTATAGCAACAATAATACTAACAATAAGTGATAACGATGCGATGTATAGATGTATAAATTGGTTAATAACTGTACCAGGATTTTTTTCAAGATCCTTTGTGTTTCTGTCGATGAGTCTGTACAAATTGTCGCACAATGACTTGCGTTTTCCGAACACGTTGAACAAGTTCCATAGGTACAGCAGTTCAACGGCGGGCATGAACAGCCGGTTGTTCTGATTGGTAAACCTTTGAGATCTCTTCACTGCAAATTTTTCCATTGGTAACGATTTCCCCGCGATCCTCTGTTTGTATTTGGGCACGTCGCTGCAGTTCACACAAACAGTAACAAATAATAGGTAAATTATAAATATGTACTTATAATAATTTTCGCATAGAACGAAACCGGCTCAGGCTTTGAACCAAAACTAATTTTTCAGACTTTCGTTTTGTTTTTGTTTTCATAGGTTTCTCGGGTATTGAAAACCACGAGCTTGTTTTAAGTAAGTACGTAATAATTATCGATTTATTCAGGGTTGAAATTATACAAATTTTTTTTTATCTTGTTATATATTGTGGCCACTATTCAATATTTTGTTCATATTATTGATAATGTTGTTGGTGTTTTAGTTAACGAAAACGATATACCTAATATGAATAATATAATGTAAATATTAATAGGTAACAAATCGAATATTATATAAAATACAATTACTTCCTACTCAGGTAGGTACTTTTTATAGTGATAGTATGTTGTAAAGTTTATAGGTGCTGAGGATTTTTTTTTTATATTACACTGTTTGGATTGTTTTTGGTTCAAAGCCTTGTCAATGAAATTTAAAAAACAACAAGAACTTAAGCTCCAATATTATAACGATATTATCATGTCGTGCAAGGTGCTCGCTTACGCCATTAGCTGGTTGACCGTATTGAGCTCATCTCGGGACAGACAATTGTATCCTCGCATGAGCATAATGCATGCGCGCTGGTAGTTGTAAGTAGTGCGTGACCACTTGCTCTGCTCGGCCAATTTGGCCGCGTACATTTCTGCCCGTTTCCAGTTTAAGGCAACGCTAAAAAGTATCGCATTATTATGAACATACCGCGATTCGTATACCGGTACCATGGTATATCAATGTATTAATACCTGACTTGCATATATAATTAATAATTATACTATATCAGTTAAATTGTGTCAAGGTGTCGAATCACGAAACAGTGGTGGATCTAGGATTTTTATTAACGCCTTGGGAGGAGGGGTGGCCAAACTCTTCAAAATATTATTTAAAAAAATTAAATACATACAGTTAGAGCTAATAAGTGCCGCCAATACGTATTACTTTTTATAGTTATTACCTAGTATAAAGGAATTGAATATTATTAGATAATTATAAAAGTATTAATGTATTAGTATAAGTTACTCATAAGTTATATTTCACAACTATATGTAGCATATATAGCACAGCTAATGCACTAGGGGAGAGGCCCCTCTGCCCCACCATATTAAATCCACCACTGTTACGAAATCAGATAAATCCGTTTGTAATTTTTTATCACCTCCGATGTTACACTGGAATCAAATAGGTCGCTGTCATTTCATTTAAAACCATTTAATAATGTTTAAAAACCTTAGTGCAAGTTGACTTTTTTACATCATCTCGTAAAGTATTAATATTTTTAAAAATATATGTATATATGATGTGATTAAAAAACAACATATTTGAAAAAAAGGTAAGTAGAGGTAATCATATTTGTTACAATTATTTACTTTTTTAAATGACAACACACAGTTTTAATTTGATATTATCCAGCAGTATATGTTTCTAATATATTAGGTACATCATTATACGAACCAATTGGCCCAGCAAAGTTCCCAGTAGCATATGTGATGGAATTGCGGCCACGAGTCTTGGGACTCCACCGAAGCCGTGTACCACTTGATCGCGTCGTCTACGTCACCGCGCATAAACTCCAGGCGCCCTTTAAAGTACAAGAACCACGCGCCGTTGGGGTACAGCTACGATCATGTAAATGTACAAAAAATATGTAACAATGGATAAATACTGATAGATATTATTTATTAAAATAATATGATAGGCATGTATAGTGTATACCTACCGTAAATAACCCCCAACTGGTTTCCGAATACGCGTAGGGTACTAGGGTATATAATATATAAATGATTTATAATAAATCCAATAATTGAGTCCACAGATTATAATATTTAAGGATTGTTTCTAGTTAGAACATTAATAGAAGAATAATAAATGAAAAAATTGCAATTATATAAAATATGACAAATGCGTGTCAAAGATTTGAAACAAAAATGTTTTTCAATTAACTTTTTAACTGTAAATTGTTAGGCAGATGATTTATTTGAAAATGTAGATGCATCTAAATTAAAATTTGAAAGAATAGGCAGATACTAATACTGTCTGGGTTATTGAAATACCTGTACTAAGAATAATAGTCCTTAAAAATGCTTTTATAAAAATATAAAATAGATGTAATACTGTATATAGTAGGTATTTATTACTCGCATAATCTCTACAATTTTTTTTAATATTGAAATAATAACATTTGTAAATTAGTTACTAAAATATCTCCCTAATCCATTATCATGGACCTATTATCTTTAGCACACAACGTTAAATAACTCAAAACTACTCGTTCAAATTTCGATTTGCATACAACGAAATGTTAAAAAATTCAGCCAATTTATAATTTACAGGAAAAAAGAGTAATTCTCATTTACTTGATGAATCACCATGTATAATATGTGTACAATATAAGCGTGTTCTATGGTTAATAATACTAAAGCTCTTTTATTCGATTAGGTACCGTTTTTATTTTATCAGAGGTTCCACTAATCAGCTACCCCCCAAAAATATATACGTAGGTATACAGTTTACACACTATGTATTTTATTATCGCAGTGTATTATACAGCAATTTATACCTATACTATAATAAATTGATAAATAATACAATAAATTTAGCGATGGAAACGAAACCTTACCGTCAGCTGTTGGCGCAGAGCTGCGTCGCAAAACTCCAAGTCACCCTCCTCCTGACTGAAAACGTACACCACGACCAGGTGGTATGTGAGCATGGTTAGCACGCACAGGACGTGCCGCAGTCCATGTGGCACCTGGTAACACAATTCAAGTTCGCCGAGGCCTTGTTCCTGTGGTTAGATTCTATTTTTAATATTTACATTCAGGAAATATATACGTAGGTATATTATAGTTATGGATAATTTAGGAAAGGGTAGAACGTCTGCAGTTACATTTTTTCTGATAATTTAATCGGAAGGCGCGTATGATTTACAAGGAAAAAGTCAAAATCCCTACATTTTAGGAAACTCAATAATCGCCTCAACTATGTATAGGCTATAATGGCTTTTTCATTACTTTTTTCATAGAAAAATTACAAAAATCAAATAGTTTGATACCGAATGGAAACTACGTAAAAAAAATATTTTCTAAAGTTCGAGAATAATAAATACCTAATAATTGGAAAATTACCAAATTGACTTTTTCCTTTTATCAACGAACTGTCCAATAAAATCATGAAAAATAAATAAAAATCGGCACTTGTCTGTTATCACCTCGTCACCTAGTCATGTACAAATATTTATCACCCCAACTCACCGGTGACCTTACTTCAGCACTCTTTAATCTAAAATCAAAATGTTGCTATTTTTCTGTATCTCTACGATATCTTATGTCTAGGTTAGTCTAGTATGTGATATATCTATGAAAAAAGAGTAAATGCTTTTTATAATATTTGAAATTATATTTTATTATATTTTAATCATGTTATAAGTATAATAGTACTTATGGGCTATGTTATCAGTTTGGCGCCATATTTTATGTGTAATTTAAAGTGTATACCTTTCTTACAAACGTTATTAGATTATATTAAAATATTGTTAAAAATGTATTTTTATGAATTATTTCCCGCAATATTTAACACTAGCATTCAATTTGTACAACAAAATGTATCGTTGAAACAAATTAAATATGTAACATTTGAATCGTTAAAAAACTATTTAATTGTTTTACGTGTAACTATGAAATATTAATTATTAACTATGATACTATAAATTGTAAGCAAATTACTATCTATTATTTGGTATTTAAACTTTTATTAAAAATAATTTTGTAACAATACATAAAAAATATCATAGTTCCGGTCCAAGGGTGGATCCATCGGGGAGGTCTGAGGCAAGTGCCCTCCCCCTCACCGATCACAAAAGAATGTATATATAATATAATTGTTCATTAATTAGTAAAAATCAGCATCGTAGAAATGTTTTTAATTTAAGTGCCCCCTCAGTACACATAATTTGGATCCACCCATGACAACGGACGGTCACCCGGTGGCGGGGCGGTTCATTTTTTACAGCATGGTAACCATATTTTTGATAATTTACTTCTTTTGGCTGCCATTCCGATCACAAAACTTCACACTTGCGTTAAGTATGCATGACATGACGTCCTATCAATTCCTTTATTATCAGTGGTTGTAACTTATAATAATATAATAATACGTTATCGCGGGCGTCTAACCGAAAGGCACCACCTATATAAACGAAAAAGTGACGTTTTCGCTGTAAATTTAATTTTTTCCTCGTTTATAATATACGTCAACGTCATCCACAACACTATTATCTATTTATCTGTAACGCACAGTTTTTTCACCGGATGCGGATCGAACAAAATATGGCCGGCAAAACATAAATAAATAGTGACACATGCGATAATTTTATTTCTGCTTTCCTGCTGCTGTTAGCTGAAATTCGCCAATGTATAAAAAGAATGAATCGGCGGTGCCTTTCAACTGCAGAGCTCCCAGTTTTCACGAATTATATTATAAGGTACATTTTATATTTTATATAATATTCATAATGTAGGTATATTGTGAACGGCGTTTCTAAAAAAATGATTACTTTGCTCCCGGAAAACCCGATGAATTCCAGTAGTTTGATTATTTTCGATGGCAGTAACGAAATCATCTATACACACGGGAAAAAATAAAAATACACAATATAAATTTAAATTCGTATACGTCATATTATATTATATTATAAATGTATAAAGTATGTGTGCAGTGTGAAAGTATAATAGTGCGATACACAGTGTTCGGACTTATCTAGATGTATATCTAGATAATTATTTGTTCATCTTTTATTTTATCTAAATAAATAGTTACAAGGTTAGGTATCTAAACGTTCATCTTAGATAATTTTTTTACTAATCTAAATAAATTCATCTAGATACATTTTTTATTGATAAAAATCAAGAAATTGTACAAACGCATTTTAAATATTTATACAGATTCTCAAACCAAGGTTATGCTATATAAATAATGTAATTATTTTTATTTATATTATTATTATTATTATTATTATATTCCTAGTGCCCAACTAAAATATACCTAAATTTAAAACCTATTTAAAAAAAAATTATATCTTTTTTTATCTAGATAAAAAAATATTTATCTTTATCTTTATCTAGATAAATATGAGTTAAGTTATCTTTTACATCCATCTAGATACATTTGAGTTGCATTATCTTTATCTTTATTTAGTTGAAAAAATACTTATCTAATCCGAACACTGGCGATACACAACGATCGAAACTTGTGTCGACCATTACATAATGACATAACAATACATGGAGGTTCAATATATTATGATTCCGGGTGAAATCCATTTTTTTGCTATAATGATGAATTTATCCAAATTCTGATTTTTTGGAATTTTTTAGTAGAAGTTATACTTATGGACCATATTTCCGCTTATTTAGAGCTTTATATAATTTTTGGAATCAAAATTTGAATAAGTAATTTTCTAGTTACCTATTAATATTAATATATTATGTATAATATTTTACATTTTTAGGATAATAGTTAATAAAAATGGTTTTAAAAAAATATAAAACGAATGTAATATTGCATCTAATATTTATTATACTCGGACATTTTTAGTTTTCCCCAATTATAAAATGTTGATGGATTAATATTAATTAGGAAGTTTTTAAATAATTATAGACCCAATGTCATTCAAACCCATTATATATATTATCATTAGAAAAAACAGTTAAATAACTTAAAAATTACTAGTTAGGATTTCAATTTAGATGCATTAATATTTACAAACAAGGCATCTGATTAACAATTTACAAGAAAAAGGGAGATTTTAATTTTAAAAATAAGAAATTGGTGTGCTACAGGACACTTCTTAAATTATATTAAATTCTAAGTATTTGAAAATATGGCTCTTTAAGTATACTTACAAGTTTCAAAAGTTCAGATTGTTATACATTTATTATTTAAAGGGAAATGGTGGTGAGTATACTCGGTTAATAAGTAATAACTCTGTATAATATAACCGTATACCTATATTATTATATTTGTCTATGTGCGTATATATTTTTTATAATTTATTGTACGAAATATTTACCAGATTAAAAGCCCCAATACCCAGGCGCACGCCGCTCTCGAAATGCTCTTTGTAAGACTTCTCGTTTTCTGACCACTCACGCGAGGTAAGTATGACATTACATTCTCTAGAAAAAAACATCATGCTTGCTAAATATTTATTAATTAACGAACACACACCCACTAATTTATTAGTCCAAGACAGGGACTGTAATATTATAATCAGACCGTAAATATAACCAGTTTTGTGCAAAGCCCGGAATATTGTCTAAATCATGAAACTAAAACCTTTGTTTCAAATTATTATAATAAGAGTCCAAAACCAGAAATCATTTTATTTTAGTAAGTACAAACATTAGAACACCAAAAACTTGAAATATATTGATTTTAAAGGTTAAGTATTTAACCAAATGGTTTGTATAGTACCTATTATTTCTTCTTATATTCTGTACGTACCTAAATGTAAAAATGTATAAGAACATTGTAAATTGTTTTTTCGTTAACAGTGAAGTGTTTATGTTATTATTTATGTTACAAATCATTATAGAATATAAATTAATACATTATAAAAAAATAACCCAAGTGCCGAAGATTTCACTTGGAAATATAGCTTTAACCAGAACCAACGAATCGTAACAGTTGATGACCGCTTAAGCGAATATAACCATTACTAAGCGAAAATATTTATAACGTTATATTGTCTATCAAAATCTAACAACATTTTATTAATTATTATGTTCAATATGACATTACTAAACTGGTAGGCACATAGGAGTCAGGAAGGTAAATAATAGAGGTGGGACGAACTCCAAAATATTGTCTCGAACCGAACTTTTTAATTGTACTTGAACCGAACATTTCGTTCAAACATCAAACCACACTTGAACCATATATTTATTATATTTCATTATTGAACTGAACCCAAACTAAACTTTTGAATTAAATGTAAAATTAAACTTTATAGTCCTATGGCAAACCAACATAACTAACGACTATCGAGTAAGGAGTAGCACTAAATAAAAGCAAGGACCAATTTTATAAATCATAATAATTTATGAATATTGAATAACAATAGTCAATATTAACTTTTATATTGTTCAGCGAGTTACGAACTTCGATTACATAAATAGTACAAACCCAAAAAAATTATGTAAGTCTATAAAATATAATCGATACCCGGACAGTATCGTGTGTTTAATTTTATTTTTGTAACATTAAAATTAAAAATAACAATACATTCAACACAGAACCATCCACATAAAAAATAAAAACAAACTCGTATAGAATAGAATCGTGCATGGTACATACTATATTATAGACAATAAACAAAATACAAATTAATTACTTATTTAATATTTAACAATAAACACCGGGAAAATGTTTGATTAGAATCGTTTGACGAGTTGGAATTTTTAGTTTGAACTATTTTAAAGTTTGAACATTTCGTTTGAGTTTGGTTCGGTTCGGTATTTTTAAAGTTTAGTTCGACTTTCGAAAAATTAAACGAAACACCTAAAGCTTGGTTCGATTTTTCGAATTTCGAACAGTTCGACCCACCTCTATAGTAAATAATATATAGGTGTTACTCAGTATTAGGTAGGTACCTCCTATATCACAAACCCAGACGATAGACTTAAACGTCTCGGTCGTACTATACCGGATGAACACATACTTGTACGAATTGTAGCAAGATCGTATTTTAATGCCAGCGCGGATGAAACTGACTAACGTCTCATCCTCGATGAATGTCAACAGTGCTTTGAGTAACAGTGCTTCTGCAAAACACAGTTCGGCGTGCAACTCGTCTGTACAGGTAATAAAAGTAATATATAATTAACAACAGGTGTTAAACATAAGACATTAACAGTTTCAGAAATAATTTAATGATACTGGTTCAATTTTATATTCTACAATGTTCACATAAAATATTATTCGTATTATTCGCGAACACTAGCACTCTCTTCAGTGTAATCTCTTCGGTTATTAGGTATAAATATGTATTATTTTTGTTTTAAAAGCAAGATAAAAGAAGTTAAACTACTTGGGATGATAACGAATTTCGATGATGAAACACAATTAAAATAAAAAACCCAATTCGACATAATTTAATGCCGATGTATACTGTAGTACAACACAAACAATAATATAATAGATATATGCCTATGCACCTACGTAGGATAGACAAGAAATACAATGAAGGAATGAATATATCACGGCAAATGACAATAAATAGAATTTTAACTATCCATCGGGCATAATATATTATATGTATACCATTATTAGCCTATAGTAATATTACGGTATATTATGTTTTGTTTGGATAATATATGTATTATGTAGTAACACTCAACTCTCACTAAGTACATAGATGGGTACCCTATGGCACCAGTATTGTACGATTGTATAATATAACTATATTTTAAGCATATAACCAGCAGGATTTAGCTGATTTACAAATAAGATGATCGGTAAACTCTAAACAGGCTGTCACCAATAAGCGGAAAATACGACTCAAATGCAAACCAAAGCCCAAAAGTACTAAGTAATATGTTATCGATAATATTTTTCATACAAGTAATAATATTTTATACCTAGACAATTTAATATAGTGTTTACGTATTTTATAGGATCAATAAAACATTAAATTAAGTAGTTAAAAAAAAAACCTGTTGAGCTAATTTTTAAAAACGTATTATATAAAATAGAATAATTAATAAAACAATTAGCTTATTGTATCTATATGTTTTTGTTTGTACATAATATATTTCCATTAACAATCACCTACCTATTTAATAATTTTTAATTTATAATAGATATTTTAATTATCAGAGTTATAATTAATTGAGTAGGTACCTTAAAATCAATTTTGAAATTCAATACTGAAAGTTGTTTATCAATTAAAGAATAATGGGTTTTAACTTTTAATTAAACTAAATAATAAAATTGAATTTTCGATTTTATCCCATTGTTAAGGTACAAAAGAGCATAATATTATCAATTTTGCGCTTTTAGGCTGTCTAATAAATAATGTGATTTGTGCTTTTGGACACCATTGGATAAAACGTCTTTTTGAAATTAAAACCATTATTATTATCAGTGTGTATTCTTATCGATCGCGTTTCCTTGAGTGTATTGGTAATAAAATATAAATAATAAATATAATAATACCCAACTTAGTAGTGTTATATTATGCCCTCCTAAAATGTCTTGATCAATAAAAAAAAAAAAATAGAAGAAAGTTTATTATTCAATATTAATGACAAACTATACAAGAGTTCTGTTCAAATGGATCATAAAAATTATACTTTTTTAATACGTTTTAAAAATACTTATCTTTTGTACTTAAAAGAGCACATTATATAGTGGCTATTACTGATAAATTATTAAACTTGATTTCGAGATTTTTACGACTCAAACAAATCGGTAGAAAATCACGTTCAATTAAATCGCTAATAGTTATTTCGATTAGCTATAATAAACTGCTATTGTAATAATCTATACTATACGTTTTGCTACATTCAATTTTTTTTATCAATGAAGCATGTAAAAAATATAGTAGAAAAAGGAGTATACCTATACGTATCTAGTTCGTTTCTATAGAAGTAATAATTCAATGTCAATAACAATAATATTAAATCGGGTTTAAATACATGTTAAGGGGCCTGCACGCGACCTGTTTTTTTGCTCAAAAACATGCCTTACAGGAAAAACTCTCACGCCTCGTAGATTGGTCCGATTTCCGTAATTTTTTTTTTGTTAGATAGAGGAAGACTTCTTACAGGGCGCATTGGACTTGGATTTTCAACATTATTTTTCTAAATCTTATGTTACAAGTTTGAATTTAATCAATTTTTACAACTTTTTAGTTTTTGTATTATTTTTGGTTTTTAGCGACGTAATCAAAAATCGAAGTCCAATGCGCCCTGTAAAAAATATTCCTCTATCTAACAAAAAAAAAATTACGGAAATCGGACCAATCTACGAGGTGTGAGAGTTTTTCCTGTAAACTGTGTTTTGACCGATATAATACACCCTATCAACCCCCCCTAAATAGGTATTGGGTAGTAGATTAGTGGAAAAGTCTTATAATTGAGGTGGCAACTAAAATATAAAATTTAATTTTCAAATTTTATAGAATTGCGGAAAATTTGAAAAATCGCGAGCAGGCCCCTTAAGAAATTGAATGTATTATGTTGTACCTAATGTATGTTATTTTGAAATGCATACAAGCAGTATACAATATTTGATAGGATTTATCAAATATTATATTTTTATTATTATTAATCTTTAACTTCCAGAATGTACAATGAAAGTTTGATCATTTATATAAGTAAAATTGTCAGATCGTATCTGAGATACATCCTGTTTATAATACGTCCATAAGTGCCTTACAACATTTTAGTTTCCTTTAAAATATGCTCTTGTTGCACTAATTATTGTATCAATAGGTACTAGGTAGGTACTAGGTAGGTACATACGTATACATTTATGGAAAATCGATAACCATGCATTTTTTACAACGAGTGTTCGAGTACACAGTACCGCGTATCCACATTATTTTCAATCATTTCAGATTTAAAATTAAAAAAACTTCAATAACAAATTATGTGTACTAGGTAACATAAGTTTTTGATTTTTTATTCAATTTGAAATTTATATATGCTATAATATAATCAAAGGTGACCGTGGTCACACGTTATAATAATTTTCAGGATCAAGAACTCGAAACGCTCTGATCATCTGCTCTTGCAGGATTCAAGCACAGATATTGTGAGCCATAGTTGCTAATATATAGCCTAACTTTTAAGTTGGCCCTCTAGGAAAAAAGTGCTAAAAGGTTTATATTTAATATTTTAGTACCTATATTTTTATATTATAGGTACCTACATAAAAAAAATTATTTAGCTTTTACATATTATTTTAAAAATTCTTAAATAATTTCAGTTTTTATTTTGATTAATAGTAATTTTCAGATAGGTACCAATATAATTAAGGCAGATACATAATGGAACGTCAATTTTAATGTACACCAAATTAGTGGTAACTAATGTTCCGTCGATACAACCTGCAGCGATACACAAGGAAAACTAGCTCAAGGAACATAATATAGTTTTTATAATTGATTCCCTACATCTGTGCTGATGTGCAGTAAGGTAATGACTTTAACATCTACGTCTCTACGATTTAAATCAACATTTTATTTTTATTTCGTTAGTCTCATATTTTTCTGGTTTCCTGATTGGTACTCTATTTCAAAGTTATTTTAAAAAATTATCACAATATATATATATTATGTATGTGCGCGCTGGCTTGCAGAACATTTTTCAGACCTGAGGCAAAGTATACAATTTGACCACCCACCCTACCGGTACCATCAGGTTTTTCGCAAATTTTTTTTTAACAATTTGTATACATTTATATGATATTTAAAATGTACGATCAAACTAGTGCCCGGTTGCACACCTAGTAACCCACCCACCCACCCGCATTTTCCCTGAGGAAATTGCCTCAAAAATAGCTGTTCAGCACGCCAGTGTAATGTGATTATAGGGGTGGCTAGAGGGTCCACTAGCTCACCCCTGAAAATATTTCTAGTCATGCTACAGCATTCAAAAACGTATTAATATAAATAGCATACCCGGCGTGTACGAGTCGTAGTTAGGCTTTTTCATTATGTTCCCGATGGACTGCGTCAGAGTGGTTTTTCTTCTATACGAATTGCACAAACGGATACTGGATTTCAGTGCCGCGGATGCTTTCTGTATGCTCGCCTGCATAAAGAATTATAATATGTATTCATAAAAAAAACACGATATTGTTATTATTTTAGGTGAAATATTTAATATATATATATCGCCGGTGTTATAAACCGCAGCAGAGTGATTCATCAAGTATGCTCACTTGTAGGTTTCAATTAATATAATGAATTTATTTGAACTCTGATTTTGGGAATTTTTAAGTATGGGTACTTGAGAATCATATTTTAAATTTTTTAGATTTTTATGTCGTTTAAAAAGTACCTTGTGGCGATATCAATTTTTACAAATCATCAGTTTAAGAGGATGTCTCACACCGGTATTTCCAGCCTATAATAACTCAGAAGCTACTCGTTCGAATGTTGGTTTAGATTTTAGATGCATAAAAGTTCAAAAAAATCATAAATACAATTTACAGTAAAAATGGTCGGTTCTCGTTTGAAAAAAATCAGTGTGTACCTATGTGTAAACAGTTATTTTGTAGGTATGTGTAAAAAGTATTTTTCAAAGTATATTTTATGTAGTTAAAAATAGTACTTAAGTACTTAAACATTTTAAAAATTGGAATTTAATTAAATTAATTGTCAAAGGAAAAAATGAAGGTGAGCATGTTTGGAGAATCAGTCTGCTATTCCGTTCAATGCCATAATATGCGGTATTAAGATCGACGTCATCAAATCTGTTTTTTGCCTTTACGTTTTTACCGGTATGTACATTCTCAACTTGCCAATTGTGTTTGGTGTATATAATTAAAAGTGTATTTAAAAAAAAAAAAAATATTTGTAGAAATATTGTACAAGTAACATAAAGTACAAATATTAATAAATACAACTAAATTATTATTGCAGTGGACGAGGCCTTGACACAAACTAGACCTACAGAATCATATCGCGGTTTTGATTTTATTTTTTGCATAGAAGTCCTTGACAAATAAACAACATATTTTTAGTCAAAACACAAATGAATAGAATAGGTACATGATTTGCATAGCATAAAAATTAAAACAACATTAACCTGTTCAAATGTGAGTAAAGCTTCTAGAAACAGAAAAATTGATCTCCCAATGGTGTGATACATGCTCGTTCCAACCCTATAAAACCGTAATTAAAATTATGGATTAAACGATTGACAAACATATTAATTTTTAAGCACATAACAATTCAGTGGGCAGTACAAATTATAATATTACAAAGTATAATTTTCATCAGATGTACATTACAATATATACTTAATAACGTCGTACGTAGTACGGTATAACTTATTATAACAATAAACATATCAACATTTATCGTGTTACACTATTTAACCATATAAGTCTCTACACTAACATTTCCGGTATGGCGATAACTGTGGTATTTTAAAATTTTAAATAGAACAACATTGAAACTATAGGTAGAAACATACATAATAATAATAATAATACCATTGGCGTCCATTGCAAAACAACAAAGTGAACAGAATATATTTTTCAAATTATTAGATATTCAAATCTTCTTATTCATGCTACATAATACAATAATATAATATATAACATGAATGTTTTAAATATTTATCAACCGTTTTTCATTCTGTGGACAGAATCTGCAACTATACATATATTTATAAGGAACACTTAATTTGTAAGATACAATGTATAATGTTATTATAATATCAATAATAACATGTAACGTTCAGTGTTCCAAATGCGTAGATTATTATTATCTTTTATTTTTTTGGACTGTTTGCACAGCTGATTTATTCAAAAATGTTACAAATATTATGATACACATTATAATGTCAACGCTGTACCAGTACAGCGCGCGAATACAAATTAGGTATTAAAATCGACTTTATATGGAAATTAGTGAAAACCCATTAAAGTACCATTTGCACACTGCTTGCCAAATGGAGTAGTATTAAGGGTCAAACTCAGATGAAGGGAGCCTAACAAAATGTCTTGCTTTTTCATTTTAAAACTCAAGTCTCGCGATAAAACCACAACAATACTGGTCTACGCAATAGTGACCTGTACGTCTAGGTACTCGAGAATTTTCTGAAAGCTTGTGCTTATGACGAGCATAATGTAAGTGGAATCGGAATTAGTCAATGGGATTTTATAAAGAAACGTGCAGTTTCCAAGCCATGGCAGAAAAAACATGGCAGTTAATACCGTAATAAGTACTACTGAAAATAATTACACTATTATTTACCTTTTAAAAGTTGTTGAATGTATACCTATATGTTTAATTTTTATTTTGTTATAAATAATATTATACCTATATTATAAATGTACTTATGTACAAATTAGGTGGATCTAACATATACCCATATGGCCATATTGATAACGATAAGTGTGAGATAAGATTGGATAAATGCAGCCGTCTAGTGTTAAAGTACTAATTATAGATATTACATTTATATATTTTACTTTATTCTTAAATATATGAACATAAATTGTTTTAGTTTTCAACTACGCTGGCTATAATTAAATACATTTGTACCTTGAAGTGTGATTATATTTTTTTTTCTATGTGTAAAAGGGTAATATAAAGATTAGTAAGTACCATAAAACTTCCTCCCCGGTCGGCAAATTTGTTAACACGGCACTGCGTTATAAATTATAGCTATAGAGCAACAATACTTGTACCTATATACTATAATATTATGTATAGTGTATAATAATTTTCAATTAATTATTATTCATTACTTTCTACGTAAGTTCATACTTTATTATGATCACAGCCAAATGAAAATACCACACTGAATCAAATTATTTAAAACGAATTCGGTGCGATCCACGACCTATGCACTTAATGTATTTAGGAAAATGGTAAAAAAAAAGGTTCTCTCTCAAAACTTTTCTATATATAGTTAATACTTTTAAAACTATTACCACAAACAGCTATAATATATCGTGAAAAATTAAATTGTTGTTTTTGTGTTACTTATACCGATATATGAATCTCCATAGGTTCCTACCAAGCCAATTATTTACGTATAGAGTTAATTAAATGAAATATTTTAGAAATCGAACAGTTAATTTCCGTTAAATATTGAAATATAGCTGTTACCGCTAACCTACATAGATGTTAATGTATATACATTATATTGACAGGACTGCAGAAGACAGTTATAACTTATTAACGATAGCCGATAGGAGACGGGAGATTACACTCTGTTACAGGGTGATTCGCCTGCATGCTTACCCCTTTTCTTAAATAATGCACTCATTCATAATCTAATTTATAGAATTTTAAAATATACTCAAAGATCATATTTAAAATGCTTGAGATTTGTTGTACAATACACTATAAGAATGCCCAAACTCGTGGATGAATACTGATAACTAAGCTCCCGGTAGTTATCTTGGGTAAGGTTAGTGGATTTGGAAGATATAGTTGTGTTCAGTATAATATCCTATAGGCCTATAATACCTAGTAATTTTAACGTTTTAGTAAAACATTAATGATTAACCTATCACAATAAAATTATAGTTTATAAAGATGGTCCAAGTATAATAAATACCCACTAGATATTACATATTATATTTTAAATTTTAGGTACTCGTTCAGATTTTGAATTAGGTGTATCTAAATGTATACAATGACATTTTCAAAAAAATTATCCATGACAAATAATTTACAGTAAAATTGAGGTTCCTCATTTAAAAATAATATAAGTTTGTATCGCCACAGGACATTCCTTATACGAAAAAAATCAAGAATTTGAAAATATCTTCTTGGCTATACTTGAAAATTCCAAAATTAGAATTTGAATGCACTTATTATTAAAGGAAAACATGGAGATGAGCATGCTTGCTGGCGAATATTCCCTTATAATTTTATTTGAAATGAAAAAAACTACACTTTATTTATTAGATATCTACAATAGACCTACCCATAGAAACTAAACAGTATGATTACAAAAGCGGGCGAAGAAGATGAATAATATAAATTTTTCAGTAAAACAAGGTCTACAAGGTCCAGGAGTAGATTACGGTTTAATGCAATTCTGAGTATAGAATTCGGTTATAAAACAAGGTAATTCAACAAGTTTTTTGTAGTGCAATTAAAAAAAGTATATATTATTAAAATATAAATAATTAAATATATTATCCACTAACAGGATGCCGTTTATACTCGTTTGTATAACATTACATCGTACACTTACAAGGTGAACCTTAAGGGTCCTACAGTCGTCACACATTATTTCAAAAAGTTGGATGTCATCCCCAAACAAAATTTTTGCAAATAAATTTAGGTTATTGAGTATTTTACTTCTAGTAAATTCCAAAAGCGTCAGGAAAAACAAAAAAAAAATTAAAGAAAACCCCTCATTTTTACTCAAAACCAGTCGTCGACAAAATCAATTTTGTTTAGAAATAAAAAAACTAATAATTTTAGACATTTAAAATTTTCATAAAATGTTTATATGACAATGTTCTATAAATGATAAAATACCTAAATAATAAAATTCTGATTCTTATTAAACTATTTATAAGTGTGAGAAATGTTCAATATTTTCAAGTTGTAAATAATCACATAATAAACAAGCTAAGTACTACCGATGGGTGGCTTCTTATTCACGTAACCCCTTAATGTTTTGTACCCCAATATCACATATATTTATTGTGCTTAGTTAAGTATAGATTGTATATTTCTTGTAAAAATAAAAAAAAATATTGATAAAATATATTTCATTAAGTCAAAAAGGTTTAAATCGTAATACAAGGTTCCTAATACATTGTTATGATAGAAATTTAAAAATATACATACACACATTAAGTATAATTTTTTTTTTTAAGCATTTTATGTTTACATTTTGACAAAGTTCGTCAAATCACGAACATTTGTAAATTATTTTGTAGGCAGTTTCAAATTTATAAAATGTTTAATTATTAGGTATAGGTAATGATTGAAAATATAAAAGGTTAATCATAAATAGCTTATACTGTAACCAAGAAACCTAAAAAATATATAAACATAGTTTTTTTTTATAGATATTTTAAGTTAAAATTGGGCGGAATTAGATATTTGAACAAAGAATAACCATTTTAGTTATTTTGTTGTAGGTAATAAAACAATTCATGGGTATTTGAAACTTTTAGGGCAATTCTTACAATGTTAGGTTAAGTTTTGGTCAAGACGAACCGGCAGATTTCTATCGGTACCAAACACAAAAGAAATTCTGCAGGTTAGCGTTATCAAACACTTTATCGGAACTTGCAAGAATGGCCCTAAAAGTATATTATTATATATTACATACACACAATGACATTCTTATATGCAATTTTTCGTCAAAAATTAATTCAACCTACTGTATTACTAATGTCTAATAGTAAAATAAATTACTTTAATAGCAATAATATCATATTAATATATATTTAGTAATAATATAGGCAGACCGTCTTTTTTTCTTTGTATTATGATGCTATATTATTGAATTAAAATTTAGCACATATTCATTACATTTACACTATTACAGTGACCCACACGACACCTAATAATGTACAACAAAGTGACACAAAGACTTTTTTAAATGTCAACATACATTAATTGATTTCAAGCAACTTTTTCAGAATATACAGACATAAAAATCTAATTTCAAATAAGTATTTATAAGCGATATAGGTAGTTAATTAGTTATAACTTATAACTTATAATTACCTAGTACCTATGCTCAGGGGCGTGCTCGTGGGTGATGAAGGTATCATATCCCCCACATGGATTTTAAAAAAAAATCATTAACCATTCTATTATAATATACATATATGAAATAACCTCTATGTTGTTATTATTTGCTTAGATCATATCATACTATGATCTAAGGTTATATTTATAACCACATTTATAGATAATCGTGATATGTGATAATAATTATGATGTGATAAGAACAAACAACGAAATCTTATATTTTCCTTGTCTATGTAAGATTCTTCTTTTTACCATTGAAAAGACCGCGATTACTTGAAAGTTTAATGTATCTATAAACAATTTTATTTCAATTTTATTTTACTTATCGTTTATCATTTTATTTTCATAAACGAGAAATAATTATTGTATTGCGGTTGCATTTTTACAATTTTTAAGTTATTTTTACAAAATGAATCATACACGTAAAATGTCTATGCCCAACACACTCGCTTCTTGCCTTACGAATAAACATTATAAAAGGTGGACAAGTGGATGTCACTCTGCTGTACAGTATATTACAAGTGGGTCACTGTAATGGATGGTGTTAAATTTGAATTCAATGATATAATATCATTGTATAAGAAAAACGATTCTGAGCGAAAACGGTCAGTCAGCCTATGATATTACTAAGTGTATTTGATGATATTATTGTGAATAAAGTAATTTATATATAACCTATTTACGTGGAATCTTGTTTTAAACTTGAAATCGTTAGCTATAAAAGTTGAACATTTTATACATTTTCAACTAAAAAAAACTATTAAATTTTAAATATTTTGTCAAAATTCGAACTTTAAATGCTTTAAAAAAAAATTGTGCCTATATATTTTAAATATTTTTCAACTGCTATAGTAAGAATATATCAGGAGCCTTACATTAAATTTTCACGCTTGTTTATTCATTAAATACATTTTTATTGATATTTATAAAAAAAAAAACTAAACAAATTGAAAACTGACAATGTCCGTAAACATCTCAAAGAGAGCCAAAATATTTTTAAACAAACTTATGAATAATCGTGTACTACATTTTAAAAACTTAGATTTTTATGAATTTCTAACTCAAAATAATTTTCAAATGTTCGTCATTTTTACGTATTTTGTCGATATTTGAAATTTAAATACCTATAAAAAAAATGTGACTATGGATTTTTAATTTTTTTCATCTGCCTTTGAAACAATATACTAGGAGCCTTCTATTAAATTTTCAAGCTTTTTTAACCAACAAATAAATTTTTATTGATATTTTAAAAAAAAATGGTAAATGAAAATGTATGTAAAGGGCTCAAAATAAGTCAAAATATTTGGAAAATGTATATAGAAAATGCTAGTATATTGTTCTAATATAATATTGGTCAACATTACATGTACCTACGGTCATTTGTTTATGAGTTGCACCAAAAATCAAAATTTTTCTAGAAAACTTAATTTTTCTTTTGTTTTTCACGGCACCTTTGAAAATTACTGGAAAATTTTTACTTTTGACCACCTAAGGTACCAACTAGATTCACTTTCCTACCAGAAAAGATACTTTTGATGAAAATCTAATCATTTTTACTGTCCTAAAAAGTGATGACAGACACAAAAAATAAAATAAAAAAAAAACACACATTATTGTAAAATCAGTATATTCATCGTTTCACTCAGAATCTAAAATTCAGACCCAAGAACAAGAAGATACAACTGAACTTTTAAGATATTGATGATCCAGCTATTGTTAAGCCATAATTTAGTCAAGGCAGCCAAGTACCTCTAAAGTAATTTTTGAAATAATAAAAAATATAATAAATAATTAGTTTTACATTTCATTAAAATTACTAATATACCAGTAAATCAGTATAATTTTTTTAAATTATTTATAATAAAATTATAGAAAATTGACTGAATCAATCTTTGTTTTTAATTTGTATGATAGAAATTTCACAATTTTTTTGGAAATTATCTCCCCTCTAACTAGAAAAAGTTGTGCTCGCCACTGCCAATACTGTTATACCTAAAGGTCTTTTAAGTTTAGACGAGTCGAGTATGGTGTTACATGGACACCCCACAAAATGTTGTTTTTAAAATAATTGAAATTTCAAAATAATGAGCTTATGCACTTAAATGGATCACTTGTTATACAGGTTGAACCAATCTCTTACATAGACTACGCGAAAAATCGGGAAAACACAATTAACGGTTTATCCTGTACGGCTGTATCCTGAGGTGAGGGCGTTATTCAGATTATTCATATTATTTACCTATATAAATATTGTAGGTAATTAAAAAACGTACTAATGTGTTCAAAGAAGAATAATTGCGTCAGTTAAACACTCATAGTCTACATTATTTACATCAAACGCGCGTGGGTACGAGTTTAAATTTAATACGAACATGTACGTGGCTTATAATTGGGTAATAATATGTGTTTATAAATTAACTTAAATATGCTTATTACGTACGGCTTAGGTACCTATAATATTATGCCAATGTAAAACCTATGTGAAATTATTCAAGAAACGAGGCAGTATTTCATGTCGATTTCGCAATGTCAAGGTCAGCGTAATATAATATAATATGTACCTACATACAAAATATGAAATACCTAATCATTTTTTAACATGCCTAATAGAAAAAAAATGCAATTTTGTATAAAATGCATTTCCTATACTTATAATCCCATTGGTTATAAATATACAGTACAAGCATTTACAATGATTAACGATATTACACTATTCCGAGTACAGTGGCGAGTATTAAATTTTTCGTTCAGCACTCTCATAATATACACTTTTGTTCTACCTACGTGTTATTCAATATTTATCATACATAATATTTTTATTTTTTACAACAACTTTTGTTCCCGAGGTGTACATACATACCGACTCAATTGTCCTTTCGTTTTTATATTATAGAACGATGTAGCCGCATACTCCATTATAAGGCCCGATCATTGTAATATTATAGTACAGTAGATTCTTATTATGTAAACGTCGATATCTCTACTCAATTTAAATCCCAATGAAATAATTACCATTACAATCGTATTAATTAATAACCTAACTACTATCGATATTTCGACATTTAATCGGTTCTCCTTGAGTTTCGACATAACGAGTTTACTGCATTTAGTTTATGCTTGAATTACCAATATTTCAAAAAATTGAAGTTGAACCCACAAATTTATTTTGGGCTTTTTCAAAAGCAATATAATATATTATACAATATATATTTAATAAACATTTAACTAACATAACAACTGTACAACATCAAAAATTAATTATTTTAAGAAAAATACATTAAAAATCAAATTTTCGGAAAATGTCAATAACATTTTATTTTTAAATTTTAAATTACATCTCTAAAGATGTCAATACCGAATATTGGCATTCATTGGTTGTCAATTAATACTATAATTATTTTAATTTTTCTTTATAGGATATAGGTTAGGTTAGGCATATTCGATATTATTCAGTCTTGTTATAAGTACCTACCTGGCTTCCTGAGTAAAAGTACTCAAATACATTTTAAGTAGGTAATTACTCTGATACAGTGATACGTACCAATTTTAAATACTTTTAAAAAGTGCTTGAGAATAAGTAATATTTTATATATTTTCTTAAAGTATCTACCTACCAATCAGTATTTAAAATCAAATAATTTTTAGTTAAATTTAATATATTATTTAATAATTTCTATAAATAATTAATTTGATCACATTAAAAAAAAATGACATGGATACTTGCATGAATGTCTTAACATAAAACCCACATAAATATAATTCAAATTTGATGGAATCTTTGTTTTATTCATACACATTACATATAGTTTCAAATTTACATATGATCACTTTCAAGATTACCTATATAATCCATATATTTAATTTAAAATACCATTATTATTTATATCTATACTACAATAAAGAAATTATAAAAAGTGTTCTGAAACAAGGGTAGGTTCGAAGATAGGTAGTAGGAAATCACTCTTCGATTTTATAATAAAATTGTAAATACCTTATAATAGAAATAAGCAATTCTATTGCATTTTTTACGAGTGATATATTTTTTGTATGTTTCACGTACTTCACCGAACTTTCAAATAAGAAAAGTAGATGGGTAAGTTGGTAATTTATGGTTACACAAAACAATTAGGTACCTATACAATTTTCCACAAAACTAATGTACTTACTAGAAAATGCCATAAAACTTTGTTTAAAATTGTTTTTAAGGTAACAACAATTACATTAAAAAATGTTAAGTATTTATAAGTATCAGCTATAAATGCTTGTTTTATGGATTTGCACTCTATTATTGGTACCTTGTTAAACTGAGTAGTAAAATACGTATTTTTAATTATTTTCAAAGTAAGTGTCTGCAATGTAGCTACATGAATATTTTTAAAAAGTATCTTTTATAAATTATAAACACAACATTATTATACTGTTTTCCGTTTAATACAATAGGTGCACCTACTTTACTTCTATCGTTTTTCTGAGCAAAGCTTTTTCCACAACAGCCAACAGGATGTACGATGTAACCTATATACTAATCCATAAGGTTTTTATATAACCCCCCAACAAAACGAATAATACTTTATTTAACTGATGGACTTAAGTAAATCCTAAGAATTAACTCTAGTTATGAGATCCGGCTTTGACATGTATACCCGTATAAAGAAATGTATACAACTGATCTATATACATATTTATAAACGTAATAGTATTTTTCTTATCCTAAATGCAACTAACTATATTTTAATTACATTTTATATTCTTAACACTGTAAATCCACATGATACATCAGTTTTATAAATATAACGTACATAAGTACATTATAGAATTAAAGGTAGGTATACATACCATGGTTCCAATATATGTTGAGCCTCGTCAAATTTATTGTTGAAAAACAAATGTATAGCAATTTTTGAATCTGATAAAGCCGTATTCAAGTCCATTTTACAGTGCCTGAAAATAACAAAACTGATTTAAAAGGGGACTGCATAAAAAAAATTTAAAAAACATTATTAAGTACCTACATATTATTATAATTTTAAATTTCTTTAAAACGTTATTGCTAATGTACTCGAATATCTAATAACATAATCAATCAACATTAATGAACCTTGTGTAAGACATTTTTAAAAGTTTCATTTTTATTCATTTACAGTTTAAATAAATGCAGATTATCATAAAAAATAAACTGATTCTTCATACTTAAATTATCTATATATATTAATTGAATTATGAGTTTATGTACTTTAACATTTAGGCATTCTTATATTTCATAAACTATATAATAAATATAATATAAGTTTATTGGAAATCGAAAATTAATCGTCTAAATAGGTCAACAACTTTGTTAATATTATTGAAGTTCTTTTAATGATAATAAAATTTCATCAATTTAAATCTAAAATCAAATCCATGCAAGAATTTGTCAGGTTTATTATATTTCATCGTTTCTAGTTGTATATACTAGAATTGTATTTCATAATTTTATCAATAAGAAACTGACATTTAAAAATCTATAATTTTTAATTTAATTTAATAAGATTAAAAGTTTAATTTAAATTGTTTCCCTTTTTGGATATTATTCCACATGAAGTAATTATACGGATTATCCGAATTATTGTTTCAGTTCCGTTCTATAACAAATACGTATGTATAAGGTACATTCGACTATATAGTTGAGTAGTTGTGAACAAGTGAAGGGTTGTCTCTAATACATTATTACAAGCACATAAATATCATTATATAATTTATAAAAATGGAGTTTTTGATATTTGCTCTATTTTATTATCAAAGGAATATCATTCGTTTATTATTTAGTTCTTAGTAATTTTTTTGTCCTGAATTTTAATATTTCAAATCTGGCATCCCCGAGTAAAAACGCGAGTTGGTAAACTGGTTCCAAAACCTTTTTTTTAGTAAATTGAGTCTCAAAATCGAAAAGGTTTAAGAGAAATCCCCAAAAAGCACATTTTCCCATATCACTTTTACAGGCCCAAGAATGTCCGTGTGTTAAAAATGATTTTATTTGGTTTCTCAATTGTTTTAGATTCTGAGTGAAACGATGAATGTATTGATTTTACAATGATGTGTGTTTTTTTTTTTTTGTGTCTGTCATCACCTTTTAGGACAGTAAAAATGCTTGGATTTTCTTCACAGTATCTTTTATGATAGGAAAGTGAATCTTGTTGGTACTTTGGGGGGTCAAAAGTAAAAATTTCAAAGTAGTTTTCAAAAGCGCCGAGAAAAACAAAAGAAAACTTAAGGAAAAACGGGAATTTGTACGAAAAAATTGATTTTGATTTTTGGTGCAACTCTTAAACAAATGACCTTAGGTACATGAAATTTTGACTGAATGTTTATATTAACATTTTCTATACACCATAACATTTTTTCAAATATTTTGAGTCATTTACAGACATTTTCAGTTTCCATTTTTTTTTTCTATAAATATCGATAAAATGTTATTTGTTGGTTAAAAAAGCTTGAAAATTTAATAGAAGGCTCCTGGTATATAGTTTCAAAGGCAGATGAAAAAAATTAAAAATCAGTAGTCACAATTTTTTTTTATAGGTATTTAAATTTCAAATATCGACAAAATACGTAAAAATGACGAAAATTTGAAGATTATTTCGAGTAAGAAATTCATAAAAAATTGTCTTTTTAAATCTAAGATTTGAAAATGTAATACAAGCTTCCTCATAATATATTTTTACAATATTAGTTAAAAATTATTAAAAATACATATTCACAATTTTTTTTTATAAGCATTTAAAGATCGAATTTTGACAAAATGTATCAAATTTAAAATTGAATAATTATTTTGTAGTTAAAAATTTATAAAATGTTCAACTTTTATATCTAAGGATTGAAAATGTCAAACAAGATTTCATGTAAGTAGTTTATTCTGTTACCAAAAAATCTAAAAAATACATTAGCACATAAAAAACCTAGAATAACTATTTTAGTTATTTTGTTTTAATTGTATAATATTATTCGTGGGTACTTGAAACTTCTAAAGTACACTATTATATATCTATGATAGTATCATGGTTTGTTATTGATGTAAAACGCCTTATAAGTACCTAATGGATATTGTAATATGATTAATTTGAAATTTATTATAGGTACCTATAATAGGTAAATTTTTTTTAACACCATGGATAAGTATATAATATTATGTCTTATACCTAGAGTTGTCACATACCGTCTCTGCTCAGAATCGTTTTTTTTATACAATGATATTATATCATTGAATTCAAACTTAATACCATCCATTATACAGTGACCCACTTGTAACCTACTGTACAGCAGAGCACCTTTTTTTATAATTATTTTTATTTATATATGTTGTCATATTTGAATAAAAAATCGTAATTAAGTATGTAATTTTAATATATATATATTAGGTAAAATTATTAACAATATTTATTTTATTACTATTTTTTTTTTATTACGTTTAGTGTAAAACTGCATATGTATTCTCTTTAAAAAAATTCATTTTTATTTAAATATTACACCAATTTTTGTATCAAATAAATGTCTTTTTCTATTGTTATTTTCTTATTTTAATAACCTCTTAGCTACATATTTCCATGTATGCTGTATGCATCTATTTGAATGTTTTTGAATACATCAATACAATTATAGATGTTTGGATGAGAGCAGTTAGACATTCCATTAAACAACCGATAATCACTGTAATTGGTTTATCCAGAATGTAGAGAAATATTATATTACTCGGACTCAATTTGCCTAAGGGCTAACAAGTTCAAGTTTTTTTTGATTTAGTTTAAATAATATTCACCCAATGTTTGGAACTAAGTTTACATAGCCCTATAAAAATCAGAAATCTTGGGTATCTTGAATTCCATACATTTTTCAAATAAAGTATACCTTGTATCAATTATCTTTTTAAAATGAGTAGACCTAAGTAAGAAAGATTTTTACCATGTTTACTATCCTTTAAATTATTAGTGGGGAAAAACACTATATTTGCTCCTCGTTCATAATATAAAACAATTTATAAAACAAACAACTAAAATGCAAATACATAGGTAACTGTTTCTATATAGATACAAGTAATATAACTCTGAACTCACATAACTACAACACCATTATTTATTTACTATTATTTTAAATATTTTTTTCCACAAAACTATAGTATTTAAAATTAGAACAAAGTACAAAATTATAATAAATATTATATAATAAATTAGTTAATAGGTAACAATAAATATTTATTCAGCAACAGCTAAAGCTATACAGATATAGTAGGTATGGAACAGAACATAATAATATATAGATTTGTCAGTAGATTTTCTAAAAACAAATTGAAATAGGTAATTTGTGATAATAACGGTAAATAATTCGTGAGAAAACAGTTTAGGTAATAACAGATAAAAAAATTGACTAATATTGAGTTATATTATAACTGCGTGATAATACTTAGGTAATTTCAATAATGACGAGTATAGTATTATGAAAACGAGTGTTTACAATAACAAAACACTAAAAAAGGATGATTATTTATATTGAACGTTAAAATATTATAATATAAAAGTGAAGATTACATTAGGTTTTTATGTAATCCCCATTGTGTTTAAGACTGAACCTATTTTAATTTTAAATTACCCATAACACGTCGTGTTAATTTGTTATAAGCGCGATAAAAGAAAATAATAGAGTAGAAGTATAATAATATTACCTAGGTATTATGTATATATGAAAACATTGAATTAATACTTTATCAATAACTGGACCGAACATTAAGCTATAATGGTGTTTACAATATTTATCTTATCAAACATAACAAATTACATAATGTCTAAATAGATCACCATCACCATTTATTTTTTTCGAAATATCTAATTATTACGATATATAAAATGTATAAAATATGTACATGACAAATTAATACTAAGCCAGTGAACTCATATATTTTTTATTTCTGAGTTAACGATATGCTTGTTGTACATTGTATAATAATTAATATTAATATCGCCCTACATTTTGTAGTGTTTAAATTGTTTTCTTCATTTCTAATTTTAATCAACACAAAGTGTTAAATGCATTGGTTTTACAAAAATGTATTTGGTTGGTTCTAATTTGTTTGGTCAACTTGTCGGTGATTCCAAAAGAGATGAAAGAAGGGTTGACATCCATCTAAATCTAGGTAAAAATGTCCAGTTTTTCAAAATAATCGAGAAAAACTAATTAAAAAGTACTGAAAAAGGTTATGCATATTTGCACAATCCGAGTTTTTGATCAAATTGACTTTATTTTTTTCGATGTAATTCAAAAACATAAATTGATTACATTAAAATATCGTGAAAAATTGGTAATGTTCACCAAATACTATTTTCTAGACATCTAATAATTTTTAAAACATTATTTTGGCTTTTTTTTTTTGTGTTATTTATTTGTTTATAGTTATTATTTCAACTATTTTTCTACAATATAAATTTTTATTTCTATTTATAAAAAAGCTTGCAAAAAATATACAAGGTTCACCGTAACGTAAAGTTCATAGGTATAAACATTTATAAGCAAAGTGAGAGTATGTAAAATATTATTATTAAAAATACTCATAAATAATAAAAAACATAATGTATAGGTACCTTTAATTGCCTGGTAATAGGTAATACTTAATTTACTCTAATATTTAAGATGACAACACAAAATTTTAAATTGGTTATGCTGGACTCAAATTTGCTATGTAAGACAATTATTTGTGCGTTTTTAAATTTTAAGACGGAATAGTGTGTATATTAGCTATAATGCTATATTTATTTTATCCGATGCCAAAGCCCTTGAAACTAATGATGTATATTATATTATAAAGCATACTGCAGTTAATTCAAGAAATATTTAAAAAAAAAAAATCTTCCGGATGAGTAAAGGGACATATTAATATTTCTTCTTTTATTTCCAGTCGTCGAATGAAAATATATAAA